TTTCTAAGTACTAACAGGGTTATTTATTCAAAATCTTGCTAGCTCTAGTAGGAAAGGACTTTGTTTTGTTTAATAAATCTAAATATTCTTTGACATGCCAACCCTTAAGAATGCAACAACCCTGTGATCCAGTTATCCCTAATAGGATCTTGAGACTTTCAACACTCAGTGCTGCATATAGGATGAGCTTTAAACTTAAAACGTCGTGTAATATATATAGTGCCTGATGCATAGCAAGCATGTCGCGTGTTGCAAGTAAATTCTATTATGTAAGAAAAACACACATTTAGGGGTTGATGATTTGACAGCCTAGTGTCTTGATACCAAAATATTACATTGGACTATGACCAGATGCTAAATACCTATGCTCGAAACAACTTAAAGATGTTGTTTAAGAGTATTTTTCTTTTTCTACGAAATATTTTGTATAGCGAAACACAGAGTACACCAGTTAAAATCGCAAAAGTTATCTCTATTGTTCTGAACCTAATGAATACGGCTATCAATCGGCCACCCTTCTCGAGCAATGCGCAGGAAATAAGCCTTTGGTCTCGTAGTACACTATGGTATCAAATATTGTGATTTAAGCGTAAGCAAGCAAAATGTTCCTCTGTGTAATTCTTCAGACTGATCGAAAGACATTGGGTTGTAACTTTGTACTGAAGTATACATGTAATGATGCTTAACCGCGCATTCTAAAGTGCATGATGAACAGAAACATATTTTTGTGGTATAATTGTCCTGTTGATTTAGGACGTTTCTTTTATTTAAACGATATTTTTATAGTTGGAAGTTTTTGTTCTGTTGACATGTGATATGGTTGTTCTGTTGATTCAGGATCTTGTTTTCTTTTATTGAACCGATATTGTTATTGTTGGAAGTTTTTGTTCTGTTGACATGTGATATGGTTGTTCTGTTGATTCAGGATCTTGTTTTCTTTTATTGAACCGATATTGTTATTGTTGGAAGTGTTTGTTCTGTTGACATGTGATATGGTTGTTCTGTTGATTCAGGATATTGTTTTCTTTTATTGAACCGATATTGTTATTGTTGGAAGTGTTTGTTCTGTTGACATGTTTCAGTTTTCATACGATTGCTTTATTGGCTATATTCAAATGTTTATTACTGCAACAGCTCTTTTACTGTTATATTCATCTGTAGAGCAGGTAGATGGAAAAGTTATGAAAGTCCCGTCTGTCAATAATATTCTAATAACATTTCTTTAAGATTCAACTTTAGCAACTGTTACGTATTGAAAATTTGAAATAATCCAAAGCCGCGCTAAATAATTTAACTTTTAATAGTCGAACTGTACCCTGGATTTAGTGTTTAGAAATATGCCGATATTTTATTTAATTTACGCTATTTGCCAACAAGATTGATTCACATCGCTTTTGTTTTGACACAAATAAGTTTTAATATATATATATATATACAACAGTATAATTTGCAATGGCAACTACTACGATTAGTTGTTACAAACAAAGTTTCATAAACAGAAATTTCACTAACTTACAAAATCGTCTTCCTAGTTCAGAGTCTCCTTGATATCCAGTGAGTTAACTTGAAGTTGATGTACGTACAATTGTCGAGAAACTAGCTAGCTTTGTCAGGCACTGAATTGTTAGACCGTTGAACTAAGATAATATTTTCATAAAACCACCAATGTTTTGTGAGCAATCAGTAATATTTTTGGAAAGATATTAACGTTTGATGAGAATTCACTGATGTTCGAAATTTATAACTGCTCCTGGCCAAATGTCGTATATTTCCGATTGATAAGGGTTAGCAAAATCACAGTTTATAGTTTACACGGTTATAACAGTTTCCTAGCAGACTTGTATGTTAGCTCTCTTCTCTATTTCCTTGGTCGTTTTATACAAGGGGGCAATGTTTTCGAACAATACCGGTTACTGAAGTGGATATATTGCTGATTCTTGTTTTTACGAATATTCTACAATCTTGGAGAGTTGGCGGGAGTTTCGCCATACGTAACTAACACGGGAAGCTAAACACGCCCTCAAATATAAACTGATTCGAAACAAACATTGACATTAAAATATATATATAACAAATTTGTTATACGCAACACATATCTGATACAAGTCACGCATATTTCTAAATACAAATTCAATCAAACAACGTTCATATTACAAATAAATACATAATAATAAATTCGTTACATAATATAGTCAGTGAAGTTCCTACATCTTACTGTTGTGTAGCACTTGCAAAACAGTATATTGTTAACTTGAAGAGGTTTAAAATACATTAAGATAGAACTTTTAGTGTACGGGATTCTAACCACCTTGACAATCACGTGTTTCAGTGTATTTCAGAAAGTCTAACCCTATACTTATATCGGATTAACCCGCTAACAACACTACACTTCCTGTGTTATTATTATCTATATCCAAATAAACACTCTTATGGGACATATTACAATCATTTCGAATTTAGGAAGAATAGTTGATTAGAGATTTTTGGCCGATATAATGTATAAGTATTATTGTAGCGTGCTTCGGTCTCCTTACAGGTCACCAAAGTCATTATGGACGTTTGTTTGCTTCTGATTTTTAGCGCAAAGCTACACAAAAGTTATCTGCATATAGCCTTCGCTAATTTTGAACCGATTGACTAGTGAGAAGGCAGCTGGTCATTAGCAGCCATTGACAACTCTTTGGTTAATAAAGTCTGATCGAAGAATTGGATTTAACAATTACTTTTATAACGCGTCTACAACCTCAAAGTGCGGAACGCATTTTTGTAGAACGGGTCGCGAACCATGAATATCCAGATTCACAGTCTCGGCACAACTAGGTCACAGAATTCCGTATAAATTTCTTGGTGATTTTTTTTTAAACATATTGCATCATTGTATATTTTTGCATCATTAAAAGTTCAATATAAATATAGACATTAAAATCATGTTTATTTGCAGAAGTAAAAATTAATAATAATTATATATATTAATAGCTGGTGTCGAGTGTGTGGTTTGTCCTACTTCAACGTTTTGAATTGTCAAACCACTGACGGTCATGATATGTATTAATGCTTGTGGATTTCTTTTAATCTTATCCAGTATTCTCGATCCAATGCCTAGATTACCTTAGGTATAATTATACAATACAGACACCTACTGCACCTAATGGCACAACGGTATGTCTGCGGAAATACAACGCTAGAAACTGGGTTTCGATACCCGTGGTTGGCAGAGCAAAGATAGCCCATTGTGTAGCTTTGTGCTTAATTACAAACAAACAGACACCTACAAGATAGCGTACAGTACTCGGTCTCTGTATTTCACATCTTGACGTTCCTTTCATTCTGATATTTATGTGGAAGCCTTGTGTTACATTAAATGAAACTCCCAAGACGTCGATGAAATAACAATAGAAAAATCAAGCTTGCCATAACAGTGTATATCATGGTCCACTCGCGCTATCTCGCGTTGTTTACATGATAATTATGTTTCAAAATAGTACCAGAGAACAGTCACACTGAAATGAGAATTCGTGCTCTGTATGTAAAACGTTGAGAATTTTACTTGTGCCGAAAAATCACACATAAATGCTTCTTGTTCACTTATACAAGCAAAACGCAGCAAACTTAATAGATTTCTTCAGGCCTTTACGTGTTTCGTTTCAAAAAGAAGAAAGCCACAATGTACTCTTAATCTTATAGTATTGTTTTAGTACGATACAATTGAAGTTTCAGATATTTTGTTTTTGATCTGGTTCAAAGAAAACTGCGTTATTTTCATAACAGTACTACAAAACCTTATTATTATTTATGTATGATATTCTGTAAGCCAACATCCTATGTATTTGAATATTTATCAATTGTACTTTAATGTTACTAGAGAGCAACTTGCATAAAACAAAATCCTTAGAAATCTGAATTTGAAGTGCAGTAAAATGTTTTGATGCCGTACCCAAACGTGTCTACTGTAATTATACACAACATATATGTACTAGAAACAGCAGTTCTTACTGATAGCAAGAAATCTACCAGAAATCATAAAAAAATATTTAATAGATATTGTATTCTTAAGGAGGCGTGAAAATTGAAGCCAATTTCGTTTAAAAACTTTGCGCATTAAAAATATTAAAAACAGATTAAAACAAGGCCCACTCCTCTTAAAAGGTTAACTTCTCGTACCATGAGAGGTTTAGTGTATACATGATGATGATGATCACACGCTCCAATCAAAAGTAGCACGAGCATTATTTGAGCTGCAACAGATGATTACTAATGGCAACGTTTAAAGTAAAATAATACCAGTGAACAATGAAACATTCATAAAAATTTTTTTAACACAAGTATCACATTTAACACAATCATTCTATCAAACTATAATTGAAACTAAAGATAAATTTAGTGATTAATGTGATCTCTTAACTTACAAGAGTTAGGAAAAAAACGTCAGGATGTTGTTACAAACGTACATTAACCATAGGAGAAAAAACAGAACATTTTATCGTCTTATGACTTGACCTGTGGCGATGTAGCAACAACACAGGTGACCCCGACTTTTACATGTTTGTTTGTTATTGACACTGATGTTCACATGACTGCTAATTTTAATTGTTATCTTTTAGCAGGTTAAACAAGTGAACTTAGAGAAGTGCTATTGGTCACGGTGTTGGTCAATGCCTACTGAATGTTTATTAACAGCTCTTAAAAGTTAACTAACACGAGTATCTTTACGTCTTCCTTGCTAACGTTTGCGTGCTCATGCCTAGGGTGATGATTTATGTATACATTTACTTCTATTAACAGATCTTCCAATTTAACTGCTACAGTCTACTTCGCTAATTAACTTCTGCACTTTTTACTTTCAGATTTCATCAGTTAGCTAAAACAGGAGTAAATAATCACGGGGCTATGGTGATGTTCAATACGTTAACTTTAAAAAACGTTGTTTACATGGTTTTATTTCAAGGTTGTGGGAGAATGTCTGATGAAAAACAACAAAGACAAACTGAACGAGTCTAAAATGAAGATATACAAAACTTTATTCGTCATATTTCCATTCAGTAAGACGAGTATTAATCTCCATTCATTGAACACTGCACACAATAGTGGGGGTTAGCTCTACAAATTACAATAGACGGTAGTAACATTCCTAAAACGTTATCTTGAATCACGAATAACATATGTAATATAAAATGTTTAGATCACAACCAAGCCTACTGTTTGATAAAACCGTACCTACGATACAACTCATCCACTGGTTTTCCACAGCCGATACAAGTCATGTGACCAGCGTTATCCAGTAATCTTTACAACTGTTAGAAAACCTTGAATATATGTTTTTCATAGGCTTTCAAGTTATCTTCTGCAGAATTTTTAGAGCCCTCTGTACATACCTGATCACATTATAAGAAATAAAAGTAACATTGAGCAGTTGTGAAGTTTATATTTACCAGTAAAAACAACATTAAGAGCATTTGTCCTGAAGCGCCAACTACAAAAAAAAAAAAAGTTTAATTTCAAAGTTTTCATCATATCATAAAATTGGATGATTAACGTAAGCATTATTTGGACATAAAATTGCACAACCAAGACTATCAAATCGTGTGCAAACATTACATGGTAATTCAACTACCTCTAAGATTTCTAGTACAATAAATACCACAACAGGCTAGTTAGTACACATAATCAAGGTATAATGAATCACGTCACGAAGAAACCATTTTTACCTGTAGATTAGCAAATACAAACACATTTAATCGATCTTTTACATGTTTAATATATCGTTAAAAAGCCTTTGTTTTTAGCTGTGTCAGCTTGTTACTTTCACTTTAAAAGCTATTTCTACACACACATCATAATAACCTGTTACAAAACTATATTCCAAACTTAATGATGAGGAGGAAATGATAAAACAAAAAAGATCAGAAGCAATAGAAACCTATGAAAGACCTCGTTATTCAAAACTGTATTAGTGGGATTAGATCAAGCTGAAAATAAAGTTCATAAGCACAGTGATTATCTTGTCAACATACGAGTCATAGCTCTTCCAGATGTGGGTCACAACTTGAAACGCTTTGTAAAATTAAACAAACTAAATTATCAACGCTGGAGTCATAGCTCTTCCAGATGTGGGTCACAACTTGAAACGCTTTGTAAATTTAAACAAACTAAATTATCAACGCTAGAGTCATAGCTCTTCCAGATGTGGGTCACAACTTGAAACGCTTTGTAAAATTAAACAAACTAAATTATCAACGCTAGAGTCATAGCTCTTCCATGTGTGGGTCACAACTTGAAACACTGACTTTTTAAAATTAAATAAACTAAATTATCAACTAAGAACTTGGTTTAGTAATGTCAATAAACTTAACTGAGAATCGTGAGCCATAGTTCCAAATTTCGTTTTTTAACTTCAATAATCCTACTTAGATCCAAAGTTTAGTATTACTCATTAAATCTATTTATCTTCGTGTGTATCTTAGATACAAAATTTAGTTCAGTATCACTCAATAATGCTACTTATATTCGTGTGTCTTAGATGTAAAATTCAGTTGGTGTTAGCCAAAAATCGTACTTGTTAAAGTGTGTGACATGGCTTCAGAGCTCAGATAAGTATAAGTCAAACATCGTACTTGTTTAACGTTGTTTCAGAGCTTGGTTTAACATTTGTTAAAACTCGTATTTATTAACGTTTGGTTTATGGTTTCAGAGACTGGTTTAGCATTTGTCAGAAATCGCACTTGTCAACGTGTGGGCTATGGTTTCAGATACTGTTTTGGTAACAATGAATAAAATTACATGTCAGAGTTAAGGTTTAAGACTTCAACGTTTAGTTTTATAACAGTCATTAATTAAACCAACTTGTAAACATGTGATTATTAACTTTTAAAGCTTAGTTTTGTTAAAGAAAACAATCTTATTTATCTACGTACGGGTCACTTCCAATTACCGGGCTGTATACCCGAGAAGTGACCACGACTGACCATCATATTTCTATAAAAGCATCGTTATAAATCCAATATCAGGGGAATGCGCAAATATGCCTGATAAGTGACACGATAACATTGACTACTGACAGCTTGTTTATAAAGCAAGGAACATGATATCCAGAGCAGTCTTCAGGCGTGAATTCCGAACTTTCCCTTCAAGAAGGATTATCGGGTTTCTTTTGGTTTCAATATACTTTTGTGTCTATGCAACTTCTGCGTATAGTTAATAACCTGATATATGCTCCGTTTGTTTATTTCAAAATTTGAAATTTTCAGAGATAACTTACAAATATACACATTTTATTTCCAAAGCGTTTACCAAAAAAATAAATAAAAAATACAACAAGTAAACAGAGCCACATGACTAGCATCAGCTCTTTCCATTGGCCAGAACAGGGGAGATTTACTAAAACCATGATACAAAGTGTATACATACACACACGTCTTTTATAGTATTCGTGACCTAATCATATACACATATTTTACATACTTAAAGGTCGTTACGTTAGATGAAAAATATAAAAGTATTTATTTTCAAAACTATTTTTGGAAAGTTTTAATTTATTTTTCTGTTGATTGATTTCTTGAATACTAAACAACAACAACTAGGAAACTTGAATATTTAAATATATATTTATCTAACTAGTTGTGTCAGCAACAAAATATATTAACGCTGTACATACTGAACACGTGCCCTGAAATCTATGGACGCAAATAACTTTAGGGGTTAGCATGATGTCAGTGCACACACACACCGCATAAAAGTATACAAAAACACAAACAAATAGCAAAAAAATTCTTGGGGGTTAGTTACTCTTTTACCTCATAAGAACCCAAACATTAAATATAGTACAATCTTCCAGTAGTGCTACCTTACTCAAAAAGTTCAGTTTGTTACTTAGACATCATCTACGTTACCTGCACTGTATATCTACACCATCATCTACGTACATTACTTTATAAAGCATACACATGAATTACCATGGTGTTCATATTTAACAAGAAACATGTTTCATTCACTTCAAAGGTCAATTGAATAGGGCGATAATTCTAGATTTATACACAGTCTGGCGTCATACACTAATGAATATACGATACTTAACGTTATACATAATATATCTGTTATGAGATTTATAAATTCTTATCTTGTCATGCAATAAGTCCTACAAGTTTGACACATACCAACAAAACGTTACAAGTTAAATTCAGCTCAGTTGAACATTACATGTTGGTTGAGGTCAGCTGAACAATCAAGACTGACTAAGTCCTGTTGAACGTTACATGTTGATTGAGGTCAGTTGAACAATCAAGACTGATTAAGTCCTGTTGAACGTTACATGTTGATTGAGGTCAGTTGAACAATCAAGACTGATTAAGTCTTGTTGAACATTACATGTTGGTTGAGGTCAGCAGAACAATCAAGACTGACTAAGTCCTGTTGAACGTTACATGTTGATTGAGGTCAGTTGAACAATCAAGACTGATTAAGTCTTGTTGAACATTACATGTTGGTTGAGTTCAGCTGAACAATCAAGATTGACTAAGTCCTGTTGAACGTTACATGTTGATTGAGGTCAGTTGAACAATCAAGACTGATTAAGTCTTGTTGAACGTTACATGTTGGTTGAGGTCAGCTGAACAATCAAGATTGATTAAGTCCTGTTGAACACTACATGTTGGTTGAGTTCAGCTGAACAATCAAGACTGACTTAGTCCTGTTGAACACTGCATGCTAGTTGAGGTCAGCTGAACAATCAAGATTGATTAAGTCCTGTTGAACACTACATGTTGGTTGAGTTCAGCTGAACAATCAAGACTGACTTAGTCCTGTTGAACATTGCATGCTAGTTGAGGTCAGCTGAACAATCAAGATTGATTAAGTCCTGTTGAACATCACACGTGTGGTTGAGTTCAGCTGAACAATCCAGATTGATTAAGTCCTGTTGAACATTACATGTTGGTTGAGTTCAGCTGAACAATCAAGATTGATTAAGTCCTGTTGAACATCACACGTGTGGTTGAGGTTAGTTGACCAAATAAAACCGATTACGTTCTGTTGAACATTATGTTGAGATTGAGGCCAGCTGAGCAAACAAAACTGTTCACTTCAAATTTACAAACGAGTTAAGTTCAGTCGAATATTACAATATTTGAGGTTAACGTATGTCCACTATAACACTAATTTCTGCAGCATACTTCAGTTACAAGTTACTAACGTTGTTTACGCTCCGTTCTACCTTCTTCATACATAATATAAACTACTTATATTTCTAGCCACACACACGTTACTATAAAACCCTTTTTTAGGTAATAAAATTCACTGGGTTCACTGAATATAATGATTCATATTATTCTTAAGGTATCAGGATTCATGTTATTCAACCCATATGACCCCAGAGTAAGAATAACAAGCGGAATATGGAAACCACGTTGGTAAATTAGTTTTTGGTTATTTTCTTAGAAATGAAAGCACGTCAGTAGACTTAATTATGTTTTTTTTTTTCTCAACAAAGAATATCTAAGCCCTATTTAGATACAACTGAGCATTTGCCCTTGGTTACAGGAGATCATCTCAGAAACAAGATAATACAAGATTAATAATATTTATGAATAAAACATGCAACAACCCCCCCCCCCTATAACAAAATCCACTAATCTATATCCACTTCACGACAAACATTTCTAAACTCCACACACCTCTGAATTATAAGATGTTTCTAAATATGTCACAAACTGATATGTATAAGAATATTTTATATATAAATACCAATTATTTAGTACCAACTCTTTGAACTAATCCACACAGGACGGTCTTTAAATAGTTCTTGACATTAGCACAGCACTTTTAAAACGCGAGTTTTAAACTTTGTTGACAGTAAACACTTTGAGATCGAGAATCATACTTGTAACCTTGACACCAAACTGCGTGGTTAACATGGGATATTTACATATTCAATATGCCTTCTGTATTACGAAAACTAATAACATCTACACGATACGAGGTGATAATTTAAACTAAATAACCCAACACGTTTTACCGTATAGCTTAGCAATACTAATATGAAACTGATATACACGGAAAGTAGTAACTCAAGGCCTCTATTAGTTATTGTTAAAGTAGGATCAAGTTAATTTTAGGATCTTACTAAATAAACAAAACAGACATTAATTATACAATCACAATACTAAGTAATTAAAAACATAAAAACGTGCAGTAACTTGGACGACAGATTACTGGCCAGTGACATACGACATAATGTTAAAACCTGAACTGAAATGCCTTGCTACCAGATTTCATGAAAAATGATCAATGTCTGTACTACATATTTTGAAATGACCCGCTACATTTTACTACCAGACTTTAAGGTAATACTGACCACTGACTGCAACAATATTTTGAAATGAACTATAGTACCAGATTTCACAAAACTGACTAATTATTACTGCATAATAAGAAAGGACAAATAACATCTCACCACCAGACTTCATGATACCACCGAACAATGACTTTATTATATGCTATGAAAAAATCTTAATATTAGATTTTATGATAACACTAGTTTGGACAAAACGTTTCACGTAGTCCCTCCTTTACCATAAATACACGGACCAGTCTTTAATTTTATGATAACACTAGTTTGGACAAAACGTTTCACGTAGCCCCTCCTTTACCATAAATACACGGACCAGTCTTTAATTTTATTTCAAATAAAATGTACAAAAGCCATTCAAACCATAATATAAATTCACACCGCGGTCAGATACCGACGTTAATATAAACAGAAACCTGGTTCACTCAATAAATTCGATTGATCACTTGATTTAATCTCAATCCACAGATAATGTATACACGCGATTCTTTAAATAACTAAAGAATGAAGTGATTTATACAGGTTATAAACCGATACATTCTGTATTTAAGTTTTAGGTATCTAGTATATTCCATGGACTCACTGTTCTTGTTAAAGACAGTTATATTCCTTAACCATTCAGTACGTCTGGCTTCTGTCCTGATACTCTAGATTTGAATGTTATTAACCATATTGCCAGCTAAAATCAACATCACAACATCGTAAAATAGTATTTTGAAACAAAGTAAAATATAATTGGTTTGTTTTAAGAACTGGAAACAAACATTGTATGCAATATGTGTTTTATGTTTGTAACAAAGTTAGTCAAGTGTACAAAGGTAATCCTATCACCACACCTTCAGTGCCTTTTCTTTATTAAAAGTAGACTTAATTCATCCTATGGAAAGCACATAGGGCGCGTTGGGCATGATTAATGAGTACAATACCTAGGAAACGGTTTCTGAATCTGAACACAATGCCGCCAGAGGAGAATTTGTCCTTAATTCATATCGCCGAATGCCGGTGGCTAAGCTAATGCACTTCACCCCCCCAACGTTTAGTCACTCAAATACAGGGGTCTAATCCTAATCTGAGGGCTAAGCTTTAAGTTTAAAGCATAAGGTGGACGAATAATCAAATACTTTTTACCAAGAAAAACATCATTTGACAAATTTATAGTCCGTAAGAAACTGTTCTTAAAATGAAACATTTAGTTCCCAAATCTTTAAAAATAATTTTGACACATTGCAAAGATCATACATTACATCGAAATACTATAATAATGACTTATTTTTGAAATATTCATAAATAATGTTGGAACAAACGTTACTTGCACATTTAATCATGACATCCATATATTTACATAACATGCATGTTTACCTTACGTTCCAAGCATATACGATGACAAATTCACTATAATAGACTGTCTAACTTTATGTACCTTTTCAACCGTACAACCTCACTCGTAACTCAGTAACAGAGATTATAACCTAATCCTACGGGATAAATAACATAACAACATTCCTAATACAATGCATACACATGAGAAGTTACATACACATATTATAATGTCAACTACATTCAAATATCAACTGTCTTAACATTTACTGCTAGTCCAGTTTGAAAATCTCACGTAACCCACAGATAGTGATGGGGTGAAGTTCCTCAGGTGTCGACGTTTCTAGTAGGACACACCTGATAAGATTCAACTATATTATATACTAATAAGTTCTAAACTACATGCATGCAGAATCCGTTATTATATTGTTAACTATGTGAACAGTAGCTAGTTACAGACCGAATTTTCTATTTACTTTTATACAGACATTCTACGCTTAAACAAATTATAATATTCACCAATCAATGGGCTTTCAAGAGGAAAATGTCATTACTTAACTAATGTCATCCTGTACAGTTCAACCTTTCGTGTTGTTATAAATTAGTTTCAAATACCAAATTAAAGAACAAATTACGAGAACAGGTCAATATTTTTGTAGTCCTTCTTAAACGTACAAAACCTTCTCGTCGGCACTACTGAGTTGGCTTAATCTTTTTCGTTCAGATAACTTTAGTTTTATGGACGTTACAACCAATGTCTGTTCACTGTATGGAGCAGCTCTTTTCTTCTCGAAGAATGGGACCCTTGGTGGCGTTTTCCACCATTTCATCGTCTTCAATCCTATACGAGAAAAAGAAAACATTAATTTCAACTGAACTGGGAAAATTTAGTCTGTTTCAGATATTCCAATGAAGCTAAACAAGGGTTATAGCTGAGCTAGCTTTCTGTAATTTTGCACTGATAGAATAGACGAAGGCAGGTAGTCAACAATACCAATCAACATCTCTTTGGAAACATTAATCGAATAGTGAGATTTGAGAATCACTTTTATAACGCACCCACGACCACCAGTTGCGTAGAGTGATTTTTTCTTCTACGGGCAGGACGCGAAACATGAACCTTTGGATCCATATTCGAGTCTGCTAACCACTAGGTCACGCCAGACTCAAACTGGAAAAGAGATGTAAACATTTGGTAGAGGAAATATGAGCACAATAAAGAATAAAATTTGTGTTTGCAACGTAATGTAAGTAGGCTTAACTTCTGTTAGCTATAAATGCATAGATATTTGACTTATTTATTGTTATTCCAAGTAAGTAAACAGGAAAGGAGAACTAAGAGTTGTTATATCCAACATAATGTTAGCGAACTATCTCACCTGGTGGACATAATAATAGCGAACTATTTCATCTGGTGGACATAATGATAGCGAACTATTTCATCTGGTGGACATAATGATAGCGAACTATCTCACCTGGTGGACATTATGATAGCGAACTATCTCACCTGGTGGACATTATGATAGCGAACTATTTCATCTGGTGGACATAATGATAGCGAACTATTTCATCTGGTGGACATAATGATAGCGAACTATTTCATCTGGTGGACATAATGATAGCGAACTATTTCATCTGGTGGACATAATGATAGCGAACTATTTCATCTGGTGGACATAATGATAGCGAACTATCTCACCTGGTGGAATTCCTTTCTGTCAGATAAAACATGCCGATTTTAAATCTCAAGATAATTTTAAAAATATCACCTAATCTTTCTGTGGTTAAATATGTATTAGTGGAATTAATGTCGAATGTACTACTGTCGTTTTTATACTCTATCTGTAAATGTGATAATTTATAATTCATCATATGAGCAGCACTTAGAGTAATTCATGATAGGCAGATTTAACAGCATTAGTGTTCATGAGGAAAAGGACCAATACTTCCAGAAGTTACCCATAACTAACAAATAAAGTTCTTTAATTTGGTTCAGCTAGACGTTCCTGATTCAGCAGTGAAAAACTAGAGGCAAGTATGCTAGTCAATATCACCTACTGCAAACTCCTAGGCTATTCTTTTACTAACGAATAGTGGGATTGACCATCACATTATAACATCTCCATGGCTGAAAAGACAAGCATGTTAGGTGGGACGGGGATTCCAACCCGCAAATTGCGAGTCGACTGCTATAACCACTTGGCCATGCAGTTCTTAAGTAACCAGAAAATAACTGATGCATAACTCAAAATGCTCATAGCTAAAGCGTAGTCCACTAAGCTCATAGCCCCCCCAGTGGCACAGCGAT